TTTTTTGGTTTCCAATAGCCTTACACATTTGGATGTCCCTTACACATGGTAAAACAGACCTTGATGGGAAAACAAATTGATTGTGCCGATAAACAAGCTTGAAAATCTTTGCTGTTACTCACTTCACTTACTTCATGGACATTTTCTAGGAGTTTATATTTTTCAAAATACAAGGTCTTTAACAAAAAATAACGTATACTTATTGTCGTCGGATTAACACCAAATTTTCACAGCTTTAAGGTGACAATGAGAGGAACTTGAATGTGTCCAGACAAACTATTTCATCGATTATTTACCAACGAGTTGTGGTTTGAGTTGGGGGCAATGCGACTAAAACAGTAATTGAAATTCAGGACACTATTTTTTAAAACGCGTTGCTTGCATAAAACTGACCAGACACATTCAATTTACCAGACTATTGAACAACTAGGAAAAGTGAAAAAAATACTTCTTATCGCCAGCATAAATGCGTAATTATTTTTTTTACAGAAAAAGTAATTTTTCACCTTTGATTGAGTAACGCGTCGTAGAATGCAGATACGGGCATGCAAAATACACTTGTAAAAAGCTTGAAGTCTGGCGATTCTAAAAATATATACTTTCCCGGGTCTATTTGTAGTCATTTAGTCACAATTAGAAGATGAAAACAAGTATGCAAATAATAGTCTTGCTACCTTAATATAACTTTTAAAGAGAACTATGCAGAAACCCAATTAGTTTTTGGTAAATATTTATGCTTATTAACATAATTAACATAATTAATTAACACTGATATCTCATCGCATTTGAATAAAATTTGGTACATAAATGCTCCAGAACAGTAGACAGGCCTGATTAATTTTGATTAATATTAATTCTCTAATTAGCATAATAATTCATAATTTTTTTGTTCTGTTCTGTTCATATTAGTTACCTGATTCACATAATTAGTTTTCAGCTTTTCCATCAATATCTTATGTACAAGTAATTTTGAATTAATTTTTAATGTGTCTTCCATACTCTCAACGCACGGGAGTTGTTTCTAAGCTTTCTTTGATTATTTTATTATTTGATTTTGATTTTGTGATTTTTTTTTTTAATTCTGATCCGACGCCTATGCAAGTCCCATTCAAATCTCGCGTAAGTAACAGCCAATCACAGCCCCCCCCCCTTTTATACAGGCTGTCGGTTGCTTATATTTCAGTGTAGCGATACTCTACGGGCAATCTTTCTGTACATTATATATTGCCCACTTGAATAAACCATTAATAGAAAATTGCTAGTATATTTTTATTTACAAAAGAAATTCCACAGCATTTTACAATTTTTGTCATTATATTGAATATTTTTGTCACTTCTAACAAATGTGTACACTTCCTGATACATCTTCGCCAGCCAAGGTTCATTTATTCAGTCATCGCTTCAATTTTACATCAAACATTGAGCATAATTATCTAGAATGGAAGCAAAAAAATAAGTAAATCGTAATGATTAGAAGACTGTAAACAGCTATAGTAAACAATGCAAACTGATTTTAAATTGTATAACGGTCACCGGCCCACGGCATCGACGCAGAAAATTGGAGCAAAAAAATATTTCCTGATCAATTGCGATGTGTTCCAAATAAAAAATATTTTATTCCAGTCCAAATCAGCTCAAATACTTTACTAAATAGTTATTGTATAATGTACAAAATGTTGATACATTTTGATGATCGTCAACAAATCATCACCCAGGGCAAGCGACTGGAAAAAGACACCGGTGTTCGTTCGAACCGGTGGAAACAAAATCGTCACTCCCAGAATAACTACGGAAAATAACGATCTAAAGTCGAACCATTCGAGCCACAATATAAACATAAAAAAATGACTTTGGTTGCATTTTACAATGATAAACTTACCGAAAAGCTGTGTTTTTCTCGGTCGCTAATATCTGTATAATCCGCCATTTTATTTGAGTGTGTTTGCTACCTGACTCTGCCTGGTGACGTCATCATGTGCGCTATAGAAAAAGGTCTGTGATTCGTTGACTAAAATCGTCGATAGTGGGTCTCGTTGAAATCTCGTTACATAGGCATCGGGTCAGATGTATGTAGGGCGGAATTAAACAAAATCACAAAATCAAAATCAAAGTAAAATAATAAAATAAAAAGGCATTAATAACAAAAGTAATAAAAAATAAAATTAAAACAAGTTTATAGCCAAAATAATTAAAGCCTGTACACTACAACCAGATTTTAATCAGATTGGGGAGTTTGGTAATATCAGTTATTGGTTGAATATTCTGGATTTGTAATTCATTAAAAAAAACTAGGTTCTATACATGTTCTCATAGATTTAATTTAACAAATTTCACTGGGAAATTAAACCAAGTGAATGAATAACTTCAGTATTATTGTTGTTATTATCCATTGAACTACTGAGCATACATGTGCATGTAGTTAAATTCACAGTGGAACTTTATAACATGTCTTGAAGTACCAATAAATACATTATTTAAATTGAAGCTAGTGTATAGTACAAGAGCCGTGGATTAGAATGCTTGGTTGATGTAGTACTTTGAAGTAGCTATGTATACAGATTTATGATTAGAGTGAGTGAGATCAGGGTTGAAGGATCTGTTCATGGTTGTGATGACAATTGCTGACGAATGAATTGCAGAGTCTGCTAACAGAATTGTGTATGTCGGACTTGTTCAATTGTGGAAAAATTGCATTCTTGCCAGCCTGCTGCACTCTCCCAAAGCCTGAAAGGTCTGCATTGGAAAGCTTTTTGAATATATATGAAAATTAAACAATCATTGCTTGTATTGATCTTTTTGTTTCAGCGTCCTACAATTTGACTCTGCCTTCTGATAAAGTAACTTACAGTAGATAAATACATGTACCTTTTTTAAAATAGACAAATTAGTTACTGATCCAATTTTGATGATTTTTGCCATACTTGCATTCACGATATTTTCAAAACACAAAAATCGATTACAGAGATTTCACCAAAATTTAATTTATTTATTTTTAATTGAAAGGGCATCACATCAACATTTTTGTTTGAGCACTTTTCAGTAACATTGCACCTCTGTTGGTGTATACCATATAACAATGCATAGCCCCGGAAAATTGTCTAATTCAGTTTTCTCATATGCGTAGACGCTGCATACCCTCTATCGTATTGTACCATTTCAATATTATAGCAAGTCATGTATGTATGTGTATTTCAGAGGAGGAAGATGATGTAGAGTCTGATCCGGATGAGATGGATCCAAATGCCGGTAGATTTGTACGATATCAGTTCACACCACAGTTCCTAAAACTTAAGAACGTTGGTGCAACGTAAGTATTTATATAGTGCACTACTGGTAACTATAGTTTTACATTCTTCACTAAGTCTTCTTTTGACTTACTGTATGGATTGAACTCCATACATGCGTGTGTCCGTGTGATGGGATCCACTCGTATCTCAAACATACATCAGACATTTCTGACAAACTCGCATGCATTTTTGCAATCATCAAATCCAAAATGGCTGATGGGGGTTCATCTTGTTTAAACACAATGAAGACCAATGAAGTTCATACATCACACATCATCACACACATATATATCTCCCATAAATAATACAAACAGGGACTATGTCATTGACAATGACTTGTTCTGTTTCATCTCGGAAATAAATAATGTTTCCCACCACCAAATATGCATGTATAAATGTCATAATTTCCCGGCCAGAATACAAACTATTATTGGCGATATAGGAAACAAATGACGCATTTATAATACTATGTGAATGTGGATTACATTTACTCAATTATTATCTGATAATCACACAGAATTTCCAGAAAACTACCATAAAATATGCGACCTATATGTGTTTGTGCTGTTTTTCACATTTTCTTCTTTATTTACATTCCATTCATTGATGTAGATTTGAATAATGGGGTGCCCAGCTTTTTCCAGTTATCTTTCTTAGCTGCCACATGACTGGCATTCTCTATTATGCACACATATATACATACATTACAACACCAGGGTAGTTAGGTAATGAATGGCAACATGTTCTGCAAGTTGCATGTCAGAGTTTAAAGATCAGTGACTCTATTGGTCAGAAGTCATGTGACATTAATTGACCAATCACAGATCATATACAAATATGTCCAAGGCTGAATTTGTAGGAATCTTGGAATCCTAAAAATCAAGTTGGGTCACCTTGGGGACTACTAGGGAGAGCTTCTGAAGGCACAAACTAACTTGCGCTGTTGTGACACCTGTTTTTCTTCAGTTATTTTGTTTATAAACTGTTTATTTTATATTACCAAATTGACCATACATAAATTTTGTAAGATGTTTTTGAAGATCACTTTATCAATGTATGATGCATCATTGGTACGCCCGCAGATGAACACGACTCGTTGCATTCTAATAAATCTCTGTATCAGCTTAGAGTACACACCATACACTACCTTACTCTTGTGTAATATACAATGTTTAGGATTGTTCTGAGTGTATCCAGTAATATAATGATTATTTTTATTCTTTCAGGGTGGAATTTACAGTAGGTGATAAACCAGTTAACAATTTTCGAATGATTGAAAGACATTACTTTGGAGAAAGACTGCTAAAGAGTTTTGACTTCAACTTCGGCTTTTGCATTCCAAACAGTAAGAATACATGTGAACATATATATGAATTTCCAGACCTTACACCTGAGGAAGGTACGTCATTTATTTGTTTACATACACGCACACGCTGTGCTGACAACTGTTGGGATTTAAATTAGGATTGATTGAGACCTGTGGGAACCTTTATCAGAAAGATACAGCTGCCTGACAAGTGTGGCAGGTTTGTGTGGCCTAGCTGAGATTTAAATTGCGATTGTTTATAACCACTTGTGATTATTTGTAACAGTCGTTTGTAAATTGAGATTTGAACTGTAACACAATTTTGACATGTTTCTATAGCTCCCAGACAGACATTTTATATTTGTAAATAAACCCTATGGCAATCCATAAAAAGAAGTTAAATTTAATGAGCTGAGACCTGTGGGAACCTTGATCAGGAAAATACAGCTGCCTGACAAGTGTGGCAGGTTTGTGTGACATAACTGGTTGGGAGAATGCTGCTCCCGTTCTCTGTGCGCTAAAAATGTCATGGTAGTTTCACTACAATTGTTTGTATCAATGGAACCTTTGTTTTGTTAATAGTACTCTAAGTAGGTCACAGTAAATTTTGTGGTACAATATTTGCTCTTATTAGTAGAGCATACAACAGATGTGTGTTTGTGATCAATTACTGCAAAAACCACTAAACTGAGTTTTCAGCCACTGCACAACTGATGATTTGTGACTGGCTGTCATGCAACTAATTGCCAACTTTTCAAAATTCAACTTGCGAAAAACTTTCCCTCCTGA